CAATCAAGCAATAAAAATGGGCAATTAAATTTGTATCCCCACCCCAGTTTCAGTATTACCCGTTCTATGATAACACAGTGTTTATAGAACACACTACATCAGAACAAAATAATGATGATGCGCACTTTACATTACCAACCCACCGTTGACAGCTATTTTTTTAGCAGCAGTACTTACTAGTTGACGTAAACGTCCATGTGTCCACTTCTGTTAATCCACCCTTGGCTATACTCGAAAACATGCCTGCATTTTGGGCCGACTCAATGATGTAATGGCATTCTTCTTCCGAGAGGAAATTAGGAATTTCTGAAGTTAAATGTTGTTGATGAGTAAATATTGTCATGTCTCGGAGTTGAATGAATCCTATAAATAAGTATATCAATGTAGGTATATAAATCTTAAGTTGTTAAGAGCGTCGGTCTGATGTGGGGGAGGTCGTGGTTCAAGCCTHGGCCGGACCAACACTAAGGGTCTTAAAATAACTGAGGAGAAKTTGCTKCCTTTGTGATCACATCTGCAAATKGTTAGACCTTGACGTGGCTCGGATGACGACGTTAATGGCGGTCCTGTCCCTAATCAACTAGAGAMGTTAAAAGAGGACCACGAGTTCATCACTTTAATTACTGTCAAGAGTCATCCTCTACTAAAACCAAGTTAATTTATTTTACTTAAGGAAATTATTCATTRCCAGAGTGATTACTTTTAAAAATAGGACGCATAGACAAACAAGTCTTTGTGAATCTTTTATGATTAGGTCTAAATATAGGGTGTAAAGACAAGTCCATTTGTGCATTGGTACCACTTGCTGGTTTGATCAGAAAGATTTTAAGTTTTGGCTTATTTCCGGCTCTATGAAACAATTAGRACTTTTGATAACTGTTATTCACTTTTTTACCTAAAAGATCAACTATAAAAAGTGTCAGTTCCTTAAAATAGCCAGGAGTATATTTTCCGTACGATTGACGTCACACTTATAAGAGAGCTCGAGTGCTCTATTCTGATACTAATAGTGAGGGTTACGTTGGCTATGTTAGTTTTCGTTGGCTATGTTATTTTTCGTTGGCTGTTATTTTTCGTTGGCTATGTTATTTTTCGTTGGCTATGTTATTTTTCGTTGGCTGTGTTATTTTTCGTGTTGTCGTTCGTCATGGCCGCGTAAAAACTGCGGCCAGAACAAAAAAAAATTTTTTTTTTAGTTCCGCGCAGCTATTTTCGATCGCAATGYTCAACAATGGAAAAAACTAAACGAAAGTAGCGAAAAACCACCCCCAAACGCCTGGGCCCGGTTGTACGAAGGGTGGATAGCGCTATCCAACGGATAAATCTTATCCAGTGGATGAATTTATTGGATAACAGCATCGACTTATCCACTGGATAAGGATTTATCCGCCGGATAGCGCTATCCAGGCTTCGTACAACCGGGCCCTGCTAAGCAGGCTATGATAATAACGTTAACGATAATGATGATGAGAAAAGGCCAACTATAGCTAAAATATATACTTATATTCTATCATTTTATAGATGCTCCAGATAAGTTTTCTTTCACCTCCATGACTAGGCCTGTTTCCACTGAAATGTTTGTTAAGAAAAATCTAAAATCTAATGTACTGTTTCACAGAATGACATCCATTGAGTCAAGTGTGAAAAGCTTGGTATCCAGGCACTTACCGAAAAGAAGCGGTCGCATGGCTCTTGTAATCAGTGTTCTTTTTCCATCTTCTCCTATATCTACTTCTTGTCTATGACCAACCTAGAAAAAAATATATGAATGCATTAATAATGAAGCCTTCGCATGTGAAAAACAAACAAACAAACAAACAAAAACAAAAAACCGATAATTATCTTAATGTCGAAAGAGTCCGCGAGATACGTTTGAGCCAGGTGCAGAATGGATTAAAAATCAAAATAATATAAATTTTACTCAAAATTTACATTTCTTGAATTGAAGAAAAAAGTTACGAGATCGATATAAACAAATAAAGTTAATAAATGAACTCAAGAACTAAATGACACTCATATACTTTATAAGATTTCATTCGACTTAAAATATCTAGGACTTTTATAACAAGATATCTACCAGAAACTACTGAAGGATTTTCCCAAGYATTTTATAGTATTTCACATATGATTTATGAATAGATATGAAAAATAAAACGTGTTCAAAAAACTATAATATTTTCATCATTCATATATGGGGATTATCATTACCTTTATTCCATTCAATCGAGTCAGTCCCTGAACTCTTCCAATAATTGTTGGWCCATYATTCCCTTTACATCTATCAAAGTCRCAGRCGTGCTTTGGAGGACCTGCTKTTTTTCTTRGATCAGAATAAAGYTGGCCRTAAATCGATGGCAAAAGAAAACAGTACACCACAAATAGATAGAAAAACTGCTGTCTTTTGGCCATTTTTTTTTCCAAAGTCAACGATGCGTATTTTTAGTGTTTGAAAGCTGATATGAATCGTTTAACGAAACTTATTATTAATTAACGTTGAATGGATGTTCAGTTGCATAGAGACGAGGTGAGATTTGAATGAACAGGTATGATATTGTTTTTGGTAGTCAAACGTGTTGAACAAGACAAATGGACATCCAGCGGGTACTAAATTTCAAACAAAACCTCGAAATTGGAAAATCAAAGCCAAATTGAGAGGCAAATAAAAAAATTCGTGAATTAAGTCGGTATCTATATTTTTATTCATTTGACATCTTACTCTGGCATCATTCTCCATTTAATTAATCGAATATCAAAATCACGAATCCTGAAATCCGTTCCATGCATATTCGTGCTTAAAGTCACGCCCTGACGTAGCACCTGACATGGCTTAAGTTTAAGAAGAAACTAGGATACTGAGCTTGGAAAATGATTTAAGCTCCTTGAAAAAAATAGCTAAATGTTATACGTGTACAACTTTATCACATAATACTGAATGTACAGTCAAAATCAACAATCGAGTGCAATTTCAGGCTCCAATTGCTCAAGAAAACCGCTAAAATACAGCGGAAAATGTTCTTATTGGTTACAGTGCAKTTACATTAACCAAGGCCACCAAGACAATGCAGATCTTAAATAAGATTTCCTCAAGTGCATCAAAACAAAGAATCAAGTGCAAAAAAGAGATCATGAAAATCATTTCCTTTGCTYTTGTCTGAAATACTTCTTGAAGCTGTTATCCCTTCTATATTCAGATTGTGTTTTTTTTTACAGGAGTCTGAGCAATGAATATTTCGACTTGTCTTCCAAAGTAGCTCCAAACTCAATAAAAATTTGAGAAAAGGTTGAGAATCGAATTTTGGATTGAGAATAATCATGATGAAACATCGTCTGGATATTTTCTGACAAAACTTTGCTTCACCAAACATAATTTACATCGTGGAAGCCGTCTTTTTCGATTCTCTGGCCCCTTAGCTTGAATTGATTTACTGTTGCCAATCAGAAAGTGTCTTTTGAAGAGCATCAGTAAAGCCCACAATTGCACTTAAGAAAATAGCTATAGCTTAACTGAAATATATTGCTTTACATTATTTGAAAGAGCGGTGTTTTTTCAGCTTGTCGAATGGCTCTTTCCGGCAATTTTAAATTCATATGACTTGAGTATTCTTACTGAGAACATCAAAGAAGACTAACTGTGGCTGTCGTCATCAGACGGTATCGACTTTCGCAAGTTTGACGGCTGCTTTTACTAAAAAGAACTCAATTTATATTACCAGGGAGGGCTTGAATTCAGAAAACTCTTGTATTATTGATTGTTTGAATGTCTTCATTTGGTTATTGACGATCATGGAAGTTTTTGTCGTAGTGATTTGTCTTATCAATGCTTTTTCTGCTGTGTCCTCAGTCATCAGTAATGCTCTGGTCTTCCTTGCCATTTTGAAGACACCTTCCCTGCATACGCCATCCAATATACTACTGTGTAATCTTGCATTGTCCGACTTCGGAGTCAGTCTTATCTTTCAGCCCTTGCTTATCATTAATGTTATCACATTCTCTGGATCTGTGCTCGAGTATAAGACTAAGCAAATGGAGAACCTTTTAAGGGCTTCAGGGCTGTTATTCTGTGCTCTTTCTGCCTCAACGATGGTTGCCATATCCTTGGATCGATTCCTAGCTCTTTACTTGCACATTCGCTATTACACATTGGTTACAGTCAAACGAACTAGAATTTTCTTGCTCATTCTATGGACTTCTTACAGCATCGGGTTGCCTACTTGGGCTTTCAGCAATCGCAACTTCTCCAGTGCTGTGGTCCTCCCATTCACCTCATTGTATTTCATGACATCTTTATTTTGCTACATAAAAATATTCCAGATAGTCAGACGCCACCGCCGACAGATTGCAGTCCAGTTCAAATCAGTAAATGTCCCATTCCCAAAACAAGGCAAATCTATAACCACGACCCTTTACATCCATGGTCTCTTCATTATCTGTTTGATACCAATTCTGATTAGCAATGGGGTTTCTGTTGTAATTGGTAAAACTCAGTTAGTTCAGTATCTTCTCTACGTCTCCTGGACTATCCTCGGCCTCAATTCCTCGCTTAATCCTTATTTGTACTGTTACCGCATGAGAGACATTAAAAAAGTCGTAGTAAATATGGCGAAGTTTTTTCTCTGTTGGAGATTTCTAAAATCGAAGAGGGAAAGTTAAACTGGAAAATTTCTGGAACATAAAATTGGAAAACATAAGGAAGGTAGTYGTTTCTATATGGCGAAAACACTCCTCTCAGTGTTATTGAAGATTACTATCATCGAAGAGGGAAAAACAAATAATAAATAATAATAATGGGATTAACAACCGGGATTCCACAGTGGTTCTTCTTCCACTGGATTCCAATTGGAATTTAGAAGTTGATTTTTGCGGGAGGAAAGCCGGAGAACTCGGAAAACCCTCGAAGCACAGGAGAGAACCAACAAACAGCTCAACTCACATACGACACCGAGCTCGTCGGGACTCGAACCCGCATCGCATTGATGAGAGGCGAGCGCTCTCGCCGCTACGCCACCCATGCTTCCCTTAAAAAATRAACTGGAGAGAAACTGTTGAGCACAGAAAAGGAGCATCTGAAAAATTACCATCTTAAGGCCAAAACTGAAGACCGAAGACCGAAGACCGAAATCAACAAAGCTGTGTTTGGAGTGGCTTAGTAGTAAAGTGTCAGCTTCATACACTGCTAGAACAAACACTGTTACAGTAAAGAAAAGCTTAAGTTATAACATGCATGACTATGAAGATTTGGGCAGGATTTACACAGACCTACTGCTGATCTGTTAGGACGAGGTGTGACGGTCGACTGTGGCCGCCGACATGCAGGGAAAGATGGAAGAGCCTGCTCTGTGAAGGCCCTATGTGCCATTTAGGCGCGAGGAAGATAGGTACCGGTACAGGTAATGCTGATCTACTAACTCTCATGTTTAAAAGAAACACTCTGTCTATAACTTTTAGTTTCTTTGGGGGGATTTTTGATTTGATTCAAAACTCTTTATGACTCTATATAAGCTTAATATAYATGTAATCTCACGCGATAAAATAAATGCATGAATTAATGGTTCTTGTTTTACGATTACGAGGGTATTGCAACCTGTGGCCCTCGTTACTTGATCAAATATTAATTTAAATTTGTTGATTAATGAATTTAAGACCAAGAACAATTTTGGATAAATGTTCGGATTTTCAGAAATCAACTCTAGCAGTGCTTTATTCATTATCACAATCACCATTTTCTTAACTAGATTTGAGCGAGATATTTGTTTGTGTTTGAGAACCAACTAGAAAGCTCTAGACAGAGTAATGATATGACATCRAGTCCGGGAATCGAACCCGCAGCGAGCGCTCTCAGCGCTACGCAACTCGATTGCTTCCCATWGAAATGATGCGGAAAGACAATATTCAAAATACGGGAAAGTACTTTTCGCATTCAATTTGGTTCAGTYGAGAAGATTAACATAGAATAAAAACATTTCCAATTTCTCTGTCGTAGAAGAGAGGAAGCAGGTGTATAGAGTTGAAGCCATTTGTCTTTGCACCTGTCTGTTGCTCACTTTAGGATCCAATCATTTTAACCTTTCAACCTCAAGCACAATACGAYCGACCAATGTTGATTACTGATTTGCCAGTTTACCGTGACGTCCAGATACTTACCGGCAAGACTGCAACTTTCAGTATGGGTTTTCACGCGTACTTGGAAGTTATCAATCATCCCCCTAAAACCTTTCTCGAAAAGCCATTCTCATTTAAAAGAATTTACCAGCAAAATGAAGTAGTGCAAAAGAACCGCCATTTGTTTCTTTATGCATTGTCGATACTTTCTGCCGACCATTGTCATCTAAATTAGTTCTGTTGAAACGTTGCTCTGTTTAAGGTGAATCGCTACTAAAATATACGTGACAAATTATTGCCTCTTCCTGATATTATTTCAAGTACAATTCTTGATCATTCTAAACCGAGTTAGATAGATAAGTAAAGGTAAGTTGTAGTGCTAAAGCTAAAAATTCAACGATAATATTCCGCGGAGCATTGCTGGGCTCTTAGAAAAAAACGTATCWGAAAAAATCCCCCCTTTTCATTGGATGGTTTTATTTTTATGCTCCAGCACCTATAAGATTTCCGGTAACCTAGCAACTGCATGAATGGAGAGAAGAAAGGGAGTTGCCTTTCCTTTCCGAAATAATGCCATAATACTTTAATAGACCCTTTTCTAGTTCCMAATTACCGCTGTGTTTCTTGATTACAGACTCATTTACTCAGACTTAGCCTCGATTTTGTGAGAATATTCACGTGTTCCAGTCAAGGTTCGTCAAGTTTCAATGTGTTTGTATTGTTGAAGTTGTGCATTCTTTACTTTACCGTTGGTATTTGTGAATATTTAAACACTGATGCGAGGCTAAGCCTGAGTAAATGAGTCTGTAATCAAGAAACACAGCGGTAATTGGGGACTAGAAAAGGGTCTATTGCGTGAGCAAGCACTTGAATGGCATTGGTCGGACATAGGAACACCTTCATCTGTCCTTAATAACATAACCCACGATATTTTTTACACTTTTTCATAAAAGTGGAAAAATTGCGTTTTGAATTGAAAGGAAATAGTGYAAGGTCTACAAAAACTTGAAGGTCGCCTCTGACAATTTATATGACTGTCCGCATCCAGCTGTCCGCAAACCAAGCCACACAGGATATATATATACAGGAAGGAAGACAGATAAGCTCAGATATATGCATCTTGGTAATTAATACATTTCTCCTAATTTCGACACAGAAGAATTGATTCTTAGTTTCGTGAATGGTTTAACCGCAGTTTCTTAAGCAACTTTCTTGTCTTTTTCACCTTTCTTTTTTATATCTGTCTGCCTGTCTTCCTTAATCTGTAGTTCAGTCTTTCTTACGTCGCTTTCTTTCTTCTTTCTTTAAACATTCTTCAATCCTTCTTTCTTTTCCATTTTTTGCCGTTTTTAATGCGGCACAGCCACAAACCACCGAAACATGCAGCATCTTCATGCACCAATATTTGTCACTACAATACTCTTAATAATGCCATCTACTTGCTTTGTAGCGCACAGCACTCTATAACTGTTCTTCCTATTCAAAACTAGTCAAGCTTTCATTCAGTTACTCTCCAAAAGCTAAGCCTGCATGCGCATCTTCCAATTAATACAGATTGYACGACAGATCAATCAAACTTCCGCTAGCTCCTCGTCGTCAAGATAAAAACTTTTCAAATGAGCTGAATCAGCTTCCGGTGCTGTTAGCCAATTATTGGCCACGAATTTTTGTCCCTTTTTGACGTCACATCCGCCGTGTAAAGATCTGTCGTCACGTGGTCCCATCCATCCAGTTTTCTCGTCTTGTAAGAAATTGTACCACATTATGGCTTTACCTTTCTTGGGAGGAACCACGAGGTTTGCTGAATGGCAGTACTTGCTTAAGTTGTAGAGATCTCCCTTCCTGCGGTCTCTGTATTCCTTAAAAAAAACATTWAAAAAATATATAATGAATGAAATCATCAAGGGAAAGATTTGTACCACGAGGTTTTGTATTTATGCATAGAATAGATCCTTGCATTAATTTTCTAGAGGAATCGTTCTGGGGACAATATGCCACCTTTTCTTATGCAAAAAAATCCATTGTTTTGTCCCCCAGAACAATTCCTCTCAGGACTCAGTACAAGGGGTCTATACCGTTTCGTTGAAGTTCTCTGCGTCAGCCACCGGGAAAGCTGTTTCTCCTCCTTCCTCGACGTCATTGAGATAATACAGGACAGTTATGTATCTAGAGATAGAAAGAGTGATAAATATTAGAATATATATTATCATGATAATGACAATAGCAATACAAATATCTGAACTGAGGATTATTTATAGAGAAATATAAAATGACTTAAAACAACACTGGACGACTATGTAAAATTATGGCGGTCATGCCTATGGAGGCTTTGCACCATCACGTGATGGCAGCCATGACAGGAGACATAAATATTGAGTCGATCTACCTTAGGAAACTGTATTCTTTCTCATATAAATTAGATTAGACCAGATTCAATTGTCGTTTTCCTCCTACCGCAAAACCTGACTAAACTAAATTTAAATTCAAACTGTGAGTTAGCGATGCCCTGACTTAGAATATCCCATATGTTGTTTCCGATCAATTAATCTGAGACATTTGTGGCTTTACAAGGTCGCAGGTGGYTTTGAGGCACGAAGAATCATCGAGCGACCGCCATTTTGTTTTTATGAATCTTGCGCATGGTTTTTAAGCAATGTCTTGTTTCAGGAAATCGATGAAATTTGACTAATTCATACTAATTCGACATGCTATCAAGGCTCTTACCTGCACACCCTACAAAATGAACCGTCATCCATTGATTTAAGATGACAGCACTTGGCTTGAGGAAAGTCGGATCTTCTTGCGCTATCATAATGAGCATTGTAATGACCTCGCTTGTCGTATCGTACTACCTATAAGAGGGATACCATCATAAAGAAAATACTTGTTATGAAGAGATAAAGTGAACGGTGTTATATTAGATCATCATCAAACAACTAAAGGCCCGGACGGACAGTGTATGGTGCGTCTGTTGTTAATAAGGCATTATTTGAGCTATGGAAGTTGATTGAACAAAACGTATAGAAAGAACATTTTGCAAATAAAATCAGAGACAACAAGTAATGAATTAAATATCAAAGTCTTCTGAAAAATGGTATACTTTACTATTATTAAATTTCACTATCTGCAGGGCCTTAAACCAGAACTTTTACAGGGAGGGTGCACATCGTATAAAAACAGAACCAAAAAAGAAAAAAAGAGAGAGAGGAAAACGTAACCAAAAGAAAGCAGAACCAAAAATAAGAAAGAACAAAAAAGAAAAGGAAATTGATGAGCGGCGGACCTTAAGCTTTTATGGGGGGAGGGGGGGATGACGTGCCTCCAGTGCTCCCTCTAGTTACGGTCCTGCTGTGAACGTTRATAGCAACGTCGAAGGCCTGATCATTATCCAAGTGATGCACCTGATGCGGCGCACTGTCACGGTGTTGTCACCGAATCATGTCAGTATAGCATATTATGAAAATGTGACGCGTTTTCTCTGCAAGGCCAAAATAAGTTGATCGAATCAAAAATCGAAGTCTTCTGCACATCAAACCACTAAATGTCATTGACTGGCAGAGAGTGTCAATTTATTGACAGCAATGCAACGCTTTAGGCTCAGCTCAGCTAAGKTCGAACGTCAAACTTCACATGAGCAGAACCTGATTGAAACAATGGGTAACAAGACGGTCTTCCTTGTTGTCATTAGGTTCGGCTCATGTGAAGTTCGACCTTTSCGATGAGCCTTATATAGGCATGTTCACTGGGTGAAAATTGTTGTGCGCAACGCGGCAGAAGTAGAAGTATATCTTAATTATATATCTTCGGTTTTTTGCGCAACTGTTGTAGAGGTGGACTCACCATGTAAATTATTTCGTTAAGGTTGGCAACGTACTGCGCGCAATAGCATCGCTATCAGAGAAGATTTTGTTTAACAGTAAAACGTCACGACACGCGGCAACGTCACGGTATGTATTAAGGGCAGCCTTTAAACCAATCACAGCAAGAGTAAAAACTATTCATCCAAGCAAAATACTTGGTCACAGTTACCGTCACGGTCACATCACGGTCACGGCACGGAAAGTGTGTACCGTAAGTGTTTTACATGCAGTCATGCAAAAGTCAGGCTCTAACTTACTTGTAAGTATTCGCCACCGTATACTATTTCTTTTGGTAGTTTTGTAAGCTTCCAAATCCTAAAAGAAAAAATCTAGCTTTSATTAATTGCGCTTTCGCATTTCCTAATTTTAGACTTCTCAAATGGACGTAAACCCTGCTTTCCTGGGATTTCAGACCTCGTGTTATTTGTTTTGAATATTATTTTCGAATTCTTCGCTTACGATTAATATTATATTGAAAAGGTTGTTGATAAGGAATCTTTCCCTCCAGGGAATGACGTGTGGGTCGAAATTGCTCAGCATTGCGAAATTATTAACGACTATTTTAGCTATAAAGGGTGAGAACACGGCGACCAAACAATTCAGTTAACATGACTAAGCTCCTAGTTCACATTTATCTCRTACCGTTTTCTCAAAGTTCTCATTGTGTTGTCAGAATATCTTCCCTGTAGAAGCCATACTTGTTCACTGTATCTGTCGCGGTGATGCGGGTGGTACTGCTTAAGATCGTTCAAGTACATATCAATAGCCTTGGTTCTTTTTTGGACATTCTGCCATTCAGCGTAGTCGATGATACCTACAGATAAAGAGTTGAAACTCTTACGATTTCTTACTATGAATGTAAATGTTCGACCATGARCTAATAGAATATACATTTAGTTATTTTCAGTCTGTCTTACCATCCTCCATTTCTTTAAGATCAAGCTTTTTTATCCTAAGATGAAAAAATTATTTTAAACGAACGGTACGAAATGTAGTGACATCAGTTGCCATCAGCGCTTGCCTGTCTCCAGTGCGCGAAATCTATCAGGCTCGAATCCTGAACTCAGTGTCGTCAAGAGAATATTCTCTTGGTGTCGTAAGTAAGTGGAGCTCAATTTTGGTTCTCTCCTGCTATTTAAGGGTTTTACTTCGAGTTCTCTGATCTCCTGACAAATAACTGAACTATATTTCAATTGAATTCCCAGTCAAAAGCGCCACTCACTATCAAGTTTTAAATTGTACGTCGTCGCTGCGGATTTCAATATGGCGGGAGATAATCACGCGACACGAAGAGTMTGTTGTGTAGTCTTAAGCGACCGATTCAAAAGAGCAAATACTMACATCTCGTCAATGTCTTCATCCTCCAGTATCAAGTACTTGTATGTCTCAGCGAACATTTTAACCTGGGAAATTAAGAATAAAGAGAAAGAAGTTTAGAATCTAATGAGTCATCTGGTTTTTGTTTTTTTGTTTGTTTTTTTTTTGTTTTTTTTTTGGGGGGGATTGGTTTTCGGTAAGGCGGACATCCTACCTCTTCTCTGGTGATTTCATAATCTTTGTCAATGTCCCAGAAACGAAAGTAACCGGCAGTGCTATTCGAATGACCTGGGAGAAATAAAATAAAACCACATTYAATATTCAAATCTAAATATACATAACTACACCACGCAACGACCGGCAAACTGTATAAACCAAAAGCTACTTGGGCGTAATCAATCTCTTGAGAAAAATATTCTTGATTTGAGTTGTATCCATATTCACTTGTCTATTCAAGCATAACTTCCAAACTAAATCAATAATACTCAAGGGAATGATAGGTGGTTTAAAATTAGAAAGTAGTGGTTCAGAATGCGGTGTAGTTAAAACCAGATAGTGTTAGTGCTGTGGCGGATCCAAAACGATTTCAAGGGGGCGACTGTTACTGAGCTAGTGACGCATCACATAGCATCCTTTTTAGCTTATACCTTAGCCTTCATTTATACTATTTTTCGAATCCAAGAAGCGCGGAGTGGCTAGCAACYAACCAATCCGCCACTTTGGATCCGCCCTTGGAGTGTCTCGTTTACCTTCAGTAGATTTCATAGACTTGAAGTGTTCCGCATTCAAAGGATCCATGAGAGTCTCGCTGCTGAGCATTCYTGCTTTCACTGCCAGATTAACGATGTGATCACATTCGTCCGATGATAAAAAGTCAGGTATTTCTGTGGTATGCAAAAAAGCCATTGTTGGTTTTCACAGCCGCCATGTTGGATGAATTTAACAAAAGATTCGTCATTAGTCTCTTTTGTCATATCATCCAACATGGCCGCCGTGTCTTTTATTATTTCATTCTCTTGGGAATGATTGAAAACCAGCAATTGAAAATATCAGTAGAATTCTTGGGACGCACGTTACGTCATAGCCGCCATGTTGGTTGACGATAAGAAAGCATTCTTTAGTAGCTTCTATTGAAAGATCAACCAGCGCCCTTAGTGTCTGTTTCATTGTTGTATATGTCTCAAGGGATTTCGAGTCGTGTGGTGCCCTTCTTTCTCTCATTCCCTTGACCCTTTGCGTCCTTCGATGAAAATAGATGAGACGACTGGGGACGAGTCAGTTGTTGCACCCCAAGATTGATAAAAGTCTATCATTATCATTATGATTACACTAATTAACCTGTAGTTGTAGATCTTACTCACCGAACACAGGTGGATGTATAGCCCTTGTGATCATCTTGTATGTCTGGTTTCCTTCTAATCTCAGATTGCGCACGTGACCAATCTGTAAAAAAATTAATAAGAGCTGAGCCTGCACTAAAAGAAATTCAGCGACTTAGCCTACAATTACACTGTACGACYGCTGTGTTCGTTGATCACAGGCACACGCATTCAGGATAAGCCCCGTTTTGGTGTCAAATGAAAGGCAGTTGTTTCATGAGAAGGGAATTTTAGTCGCAAAAAAAACCTAACAAACCAGAACTGAGATTTCAGATATTTGGTACTTTCGGCTCTGGGATTTCAAGGTATCTACAGATCACTAGGATCCAGACTCCCTGACGCGAGGAGATAGCGCGGATCATTTTGATAACAAAGAAGTCATTGTATTTTAATTAGATTCCGATTACATTTGGTGCCTTCATAAAATCACGTCACGCACTAAGACTGCGTGATGTAAATTTAGGTGAAATTTGAAAAGAATGATTAAAAATTAATTTTAATGGAGTCATGAATAGCCAGAGCTTTGAAAGAGGTTTAAGAAGATATAAAGGATCGATGGTCACTACTATAATAGTCACTACAACCAAATAAAGTTTAACTAAAATAATTAAAAGAATTTTCATAGCATACTATTGATCATGAATCAAATTACCTTTACTGGATCCCAGCGGTACAGCTTTGACTTTCCATCATCAAAGCACGGCCCTTCGTCCTCGGATATCTGGCAAACATTTCCTGGACAACCGCTGTCTTCCGTCATGTACCCATTTGAAAACCCGCTGTACATTAAAAATAAAAGAATGGGCAGAAAATGTGTGACTGTCATTCGGTTTTTCGTAAAATAAACTTGAAATWAATACAGTGGGTTTCAATAAGGGCTTAGTTTGATAAAGAGGTTTTTTTGTAGGGATATTTTGGAGAATATTGTGAATAAGTAATGAGAGAGTACAGGGACTGTATTAATCACTGACGCGAATTTGCGTCAAACAGAGAAAAACTTTGTCAAATACCCGCAGATAAAAAATCTGAAAACAAATATAAAATTTAGAAAGAAAATATTTTCTCAAGTATTGCGTTTCTTTATTTCAAACGAAAAAGTTTTTAACACTACTCTACAATGATTTTTAGCGACYGAAATATAATGAAAATAAAACAATAAGATAGCTAATTTTCCTTACGGCTTTACTAGAAAAATTGCAGAGTATAAAATATTTCACTGTTGGTAAATTTTTCTTTCAAAGGCCTTTTGAATTTAAGGATTGTAAGAAAATCCCTTTGGTTCGTTTAGTTTCTTTTCCATTTGAGACCTATGAGACTGCAGTCAATCATGGTTCTAGTAAGCAGTATCCGTGTTATAATATATGCGCATGACTCATCGACGTTCACATGTGTTTTTCAAGATGGCGGCCTACATTGAACTACAACTGTAAACTTCAAAAATATCTAATTTTTTCCAGTAATAACACWTAAAAACACTATGTCAGGAGTCAGTAGAAAAGAGCTTGATGAGCTCAAGGTGTGGATCGGAGAAAGCGTCAAGAAACGTCTYGGTTTTAACGAGAAATCCGTTGTCAAAGCAGCTTTAGATTGTGTTTCTAAAAACTTAGACAAACGATCATCCATCGAGCAACTGGCTACATTTCTAGACGATCTTGCGCCACAGTTTGTCGAAGATTTGTTTAACAGAGTGACTCAGATTAAAACGAACAAGTTATTGAGTTCGCATAAGAGTTCTAGCTCGCGGAAGAGGACTTTAGAAGATGTGTTTGGTGATGATACTGACGAATCTTCGACTACGGCTGTGAAGTCTTCAAAACGAAAACARAGTAGATTTGATGCTCTAAAGGAGGATAATGAGCCGCTTCCACCAGCCATTCCYGAGCCGATGGATGGACCAGCACACTTGAATAGCAGTCAGATATCAGAGATGGTGGCRAACATGAAGAAACAGATAGAAGAACGAAAGAGACAACTGCAGGTAACAAACTGGATCATTTGGTGGTGTGCAACAAATATGTTTTGTAATCTTCTAAATGCTTTTATTACTGGGGCAACTGCAGAATTTGAGGGTAAAATAGCAACTGTGCTAAGTGTGTTATKGGAACAAAGAGWATTACTCAGTGGCAATGCCTTGCTAAAGACATGTCAAGATGTAAATGTTGGTCTCCCTGTGTCTTAGTACAAGAAGACAGKCCTAAAAGACATTTAGTTAGCATTGGGTTTGACATAATGACGAGCCGCATGAGGCTGATTTACATGTGACCAGTCAATGTTACTGGCCRAAAAGACTGGCCTGARGCATTTGGCCAGACATTGTCTGTTGACCTGCCTTTATCTTTAGCCCTAATCTTACGTGCTCCTTATCACAGGTGACGGGTCAAGCAAGAGGTATAATACCATCTGCTGCTCCAGTAATACCTCAGTCATTACCAACATTACCCCACACAACGCCCAGCCTAGAACAACAGCAACAATTAATGAATGACGCTATTGAAAAAGCAAAAAGAGCTGCTGAGCTGCAGAAAAAGATCCAAGAACAACTGGCTAGCAAACCTAACTTGGTGAGTAATCAAAAAATTTGATGAAATATTGGTTTCAATCATATTTTAAGGAGCAAGCATAGACTGGTTGGTTAGTGCACTGAAAGAAAAGCAAGACATCTAAGGTTTTTGCCCATGTACATGTTTCTAATTTTTTTAACTCCGCTTCATTTATGTTTCTTCATGTGGAACATTGATGGAAAGAAAGGCAAAAAGATCCTTTTTTGGACGCTATGAAAAAGCATTCTACTGCAGTTTTAGATATTCTGCCAACTCAGACATTTGAATGACTTCTTGTAAAATTGGCTTTTACTGCCGCCAYTCGAGAACATATAAGGTACTGACTGATTACTTTTGATTGATGGCAGTGAAAAACCAAATTTTAGTGTGCAACTTGCAACTACCGTGTTCACAGAATATTGAAAAGCACAGTAAAGTAAAACAATTGATATTAAATATGCTTCTTTGTCTGTTTTTCTATTCAGTTTGCAAACTCACAACTCACCCATGCAGGAGCATCACTTGTCAAGTCTGGTATGGTCAACTTAACGTCAGTCAAAGATGAGAAACCAAGCCCACTTATACTTGACGATAAAGGAAGAACAGTAGATGAGCATGGTAAGGCTGTGCAGCTGAGCAGTAGGATGCCTACCTTGAAGGCAAATATCAGAGCCAAGAAGAGAGAGCAGTTTAAAGTCGAGAAGCCAAGTGAGGACTTAACAGAAAGGTCTTTTTTTGATTCAAGAGTGGCGTAAGTTTTAGAAAATTCTAGTTAAAATTCTTGCTTGATATATACATACACTAAAGTGTACACTGTAGTCTCACTAATGCACTGTTTGTATGACAATCCTCTGCTGTTGTTGAACAAGTTATGCATTTCCCAGCTTAACTGTCTGAGTAGATT